GAGCGTGTTCTTCATATGTATTTTTTCCTCGTTCACTAAAAACTCATTAATAAATGAGTTTTTGGTGACAACAGAAAAACCACTTTCATCCATATTAAAAATTCGTATCAAATCATTCAAACATTAATCATTTTCTCTCAAAGATATTAAAATTTAATCAAACTAATCTCTTATGTTTTTTTCAGTTACTTCTCTTCTAGCTTGGTTTAAGTATTCATCTCGTTTAAGAAATGCATAAAACCAACTTTTTGCAGGTAAAGCCATAAAATATGTACCGTAAAACGGGGTCGCCCTCGAGGGTGACTTCTGCCCAAGCCATATTTATTGTTTTAAATGGTTTCAATATGGTACCACATGGTACGTTTTGTGGCTAATTGTGGGAAATTTATTAATAATTTTGTTTTCTTAGTTTACTTAATTTGAGTCTTTGTGATATTATTGTAAATTGCACTTTAGAAGAAGCACCTAAAAATCTATTTTATTTTAGGTATTTAAAGGTACATCAATAGCAGTACCTAGCGAAGGTTTTTCACTGAAACTTACTCTGAATTAGTTTTAAACCATTAGTATTTAGTGTTTGATTTTATCTTGTTTTGAAATCTTAATTTTTTATTATTTTTTGCAACTAAGGCTCAATAAAAATGGGTTGTCTTTGGCCCACTACATGGGGTGACATTGGCCCCGGCTAAAGTAACAAGTAATATGGTAATTACTATGTTGGAATGATAAATTTAAACATTGCAGAAGAAGAAAATATGTTACTTATACTTAAGAACAGTAAGAAAGTGCATTAAAGATTTAGAGAATGGCTTAATTACTCAAAGAAAAGCTTTGAAGTACGATAAACCAAGATCATTCTTAAAAAACAAAATATAACAGACATATCCCAAAAAGTATGGTGGTCAGCAGATGTTTACATCAAAAAAAGACATGTTTAAGCCATATGCAATAAAATCATCTGAGTTTGGTTTTCCTGTCAATGTATATGATTAATGATTGATTTTTTAAAGGGTGTTTAGACAAAAAAAAAAAGGGTGTTTATACTTTGGTTCAAAAATAATTTGCCAGGCGACGATTGGATTCAAGCTTTTATATAAAGATATCCAGAACAGTAAGATTTGCAAACAATTTAAAGTGAAGCGCAGAAATAGGAATAACTGTGATTGATAACTACTTTATAAATTTATCAAATGAAATAAGTAATACATCATGACCACCAAAAGCGCGTTATAATAAATCAAAAGTGATTGGTTTGACTCAACATATTTTGAGGACTAGTTTTTCTCTTCACTTCTTCCAAGACTTAAGAAGGCTTAAGGAAGAAGTGTCATTTTTATTGATAAAGTATCTTCACATTTGAGCATTGACGTATTGGATGCATGCCATAACAATAACATAGCATATGAGATATTACAAGCAAACTCTGTTGCCTACTTTAGACCCATGAAGATTAACCAGCGCAAAATAAAATGTGAATGGAAAGAAAGAAAAAGGAAAAAGAGTTGCTTCGTTTCCTAATGATGAATTTCCTAAACTTTTAGACCGTTTAATTAGCAACTTAAATTAATAATGGAATGATAACCTTAGAGTTGGTTTTGGCAAAACTGGAATTTTTCCATTAGACAAATCCCAAGTACTTTCACGACTACCATGTCGTAATAAAGGTTTAGAATCAATTACAAACTTAGTAAGCCAATAATTTTTAGATCATTTAAGTAAGTCAATGGATGATCACCCAGATGGTTCTACAAAACAAAAGCGACGAATGGTATGTGTTAAGTAAAAGCTTATGTTCAGCAGATATATTCTCTGGTGTTATAAAAGAAAACAATAAATTAAATATAAATAATGTAAATACACCTAGCATAGTAGTATAAATACAATTGTGACCAACAACATTAAATTTGCTGGCCCAAGTAACAACTGAGACTTGGAACTACTGAGATTTGGAACTACTTGAGAGTTGGAACTACTGAGACTTCTAATCTAATCTTTCAGTAAGTTTAGGCGTAGAAAGTCATACAGAATCTTTAGATCATTCAGAATTAAGCCAAAAAAAACTTGCAAAAGCTTGATATTGATAAAACAAAAAATGTGAATAAAAAGAAAAAATTATTAAATTTTGTAGAGAATTGTTATGTAATTATTAAATGCAACGGAAAGTTAAATCCTGAACAGGTTTGTTTATCTGTTTTAAACTACTTATAAACATTTAGTTAAACAATTAGTAAACTTTATAACTAATTATTAATTAAATTAATAACTAATATTGTTTAATGTATTAACTTCTGAATAATTCTAAAGTTACTATTAAATAATTTCTTTTATGCAGTTGAAAAAGAAAAATTGGAACAGAAACACCAATATAAAAAAAATAGACTTAAATCGAAATGATCACTACCAGCAGGCAGGGACAGATTCAGCATTTTTTGGTGTTTGAGATAACTTCCAGACATGGAGCAATTTCCAAATATTTATATATTTATACTTACGTCAAAAAAGAATTCTTTGAAAAAATTCCGATGACTGGAGAGGGAGATCCTCCCTCCTTAAATCATACAAAAAATAAATTTGGTAAAACTTTACAGCAGTTAAATCAGAACTTTATTTTTAAAAGTAAAATCAATATGTAAAGATCCAAGTTGAATCAAACCATTTTTGATTTATAGCTTTAAGAAATGATACATTAAGTTATGTTTTTCAAAACATGTTGAAATTTTATCTGAGCATTTTAAAGGTCAAATAGACTGATTTGAGCGAAGTATTTCAAATTTTCTTGGTTTCTATGTTACCATGGCAACAACTGTCATGAAAAAAATCTTTAATTATTATTCTTGTTTGAAATTTAAGATTTATTTTTGAGATAACTTTAGCCCTCACAATAACTTATATGTTACGATTATGTAATACAATTACCCACAAAGTAACATGTATTTTACATGTTTATAAACATGTGTCAATGTTTTTATATATATCTTCATTTTAGCTATAATTTGATACAATAATTTTATTTAAAGTTTTGTTTTTAAAGTTTATATTATAGTCTTGGTTAAAATTATTTTATTGTTATGGTTTCCAAGGTAATAGTGCCCAAAATTTATTTCTGCAAAAATAAACGCTAGACAATCAAAGGCTTTGTTTGTTTAGCGTTGATTTTTACAGAATTAAAACTTTTTTTAATTTTTGATTAACGCCCAACTTAAAGTCAGAACTTACCAAATATAATAATAAAAATTTACATTTAAGAAAGTGAGTGTCACCTATGTTAATTTGATGAAGACAATAATATGTGTTAATCATTGAAATTATAAATAACATAATAAAAGGGTTGTCCATAAATTACGTCAAGTAGTTTTTGATATTTTTTTACAAAATACAAAACGACTTTAAATATAATAATAATAATAATAATAATAATAATAATAATATATATATATATATATATATATATATATATATATATATATATTATATATATATATATATATATATAATGAAATATTTGCCGTATTAGGCATCCTATACTTTTTAACTATTTAAAAGTTGAGAAACATTAAAATGAGACTATTGTCAGAGACAGGTAACATTTTTGATGAAAAAAGAGCTTGTTTGTCGCCCAAAACTGGATAGCAACTCTTTTTGCACTACAATATTCCTAAACTTTCAGAAGTCTTTACATAAGTGATTACTGCAAATAAAATTAAGCAAAGCTACAGATATGCGGTCTAAAATAATTTTATTTTATCGCTTGATGCGCTTTCGTTTGGAGACTTACTCAAAGTGGTGACTTTTTAATATAAACGTAAAGAATATTTATTGGCTTTAGTACATACATCGACTATCTTATAAACTGCTGCTACAAGGAAGTGTTGCTACATGTACTATTATATTGCTTGATTCTACAAGGAAGTGCTGCTAGATTGCAATCTAGCAGCACTTCCTTGTAGAAGCAGCACTTCCTTGTAGTCAATTGACTAAAGATTATTTCAATTAAAATTTCTAATGTTTAAAAATTCTCCACTAACAAGAGCACAACAAGCGAAAAAATAATTTTAGAGCGTTAAACTGTAGCTTTACCTAAAAATACATTGTATTTTTTACCTAGGTTTACCCATAGTTCTTCATTGCCCTGTAGGACAATGATTTTTTGATTTGGTTTACACAGTATGTGTCTCATGACTTAAATAAATAAAGTAAAAAATAAATTCCGGCGTTCCGGCCTGAAATATAATAGTTCCGGCCGGAACCGGAATAACGTAAAAGTCACAAATTCTAACCGGAATGGAATTCCGAGATATAGACCGGTTTAAAAAAATTAAATACTATAAACTTATTTATAAAAATAAAACTTCCCACCCACCCGTTTTTTATAACCTCATCTTGTATTAGGCAACTGAGAGTATAAAAATTATCTTTAAAGTATCTTAAAATTATAACTTCAAAGTTGTGACTTAAGAAAAAAAATAAAGTTAAAGAGATTTAAGCTTAATTAGGAAACCGAGGAGTATTGCAACATTCAAGGTAACCCCATATGTTAGCAAAATATATAAACCATTTTTTGACGGAAAATTTATTGAATTAAAAACGCAAGCTGTTGAAAATAACTTTATCAAACATATAAAATTTAACTTCTGTTAGCTTTTAATTCTGAAAAATGGAATTTGAACACATTTATTTAAAATTCCGATAACTCAAACAACTTAAAAAGTATTAAACAATTGCATCCGTTTTTTGAAAAAAAAATAAATAAAAAAATAAGCAACTGCGTAAATTTTTGCTTATCAAACTAAGCTACAGTTCTGCCTAATTTTAATCAACTTAAAAAAAAAAAATCCACAGATCATTTACATTTAATAAAATTTAATTTGTTTTTTATTTTATACATATTTTTTGTATATGTCGTAAGTTAGATATATAAATATAATTATAATAACTGCAGACAAAAAACTGCACGTATTTGATACGTATTTGATACGCAGTGACTAACAAAGAAAACAAAATGCTTTTAACACATTTAATATATCTCATGTTTATATACAACAGAACTTCCGTTTTGAAAATGAACTTTATTTTGTATGTCCATGCATCCACAATTGCAACTTTGAACAATATCATCGTGTGTTTTTTCTCCATTTACGGCAGGTGAACTATCTGCGTTTAACGACTCTATAGAAAAAAAATCTTTTGTTTTCTGCGTCGCACTTGTATCGTTTTCGGTATTTTCTAATTTGCTCTGTATTGTTTTTTCCCCTTCACCACTACTACTTAACAATCCGTTTCTGAAATTTGTATTTGAGGCTTTTAGTAATTCTTTTCTAGATGTAATAACTGAAGAAGTACAGACTTCGGTTGTCTGCGTAGTTTGAGTCCAAACGTCAACTAAAGGAACGTATTTGCGAAGTACATAGCCGGCCGGAGGTTGATATGTAGATAGATCCGGTGAAACATGTGGTGGTGAACATGAATGAGGTAAGGACTTGTGCTCTGATCTTAGGCAATCTTTTTCGGGAAAAGTAAAATAACGTCCTTCGCATTTAGTTAATCCAGGGGAATAATACTTTTTGTTTTGTTCTGACTCAAGTTTAGCGTCACTAAGTGAGCCTAGGGCTTCGCTCAATTTTATAATTGCAGGCTTTATAAGAGGCGATGACGCATAAAACTTTGAATGCGCATTTAAGTCAATGTATTCATTTGTTGTGTTAACAGGTTTTGGTTTTGTTTCTATATCGATATCAAGGGAAGGAATTTTTCGTCTCTCGTATAGAGTTTGTTGATTAGCTTGAATAACGTACTCGTGTGAAATATGAGGTCTTTTTCTATTATTAGAATAAGAATCACATTGGTCATCTGAAGAGTTTTTAACCTTTGTTTCACATGGTAATGAAACATTTCGACGAACCCCTTCATAATCTTTTAAAAGTTGATCGCGACTATGAAAAGCATAATGCTCAGGTGAAACATCCCTTTCGCTCGACCGACTGTGTAACCGCATGGTTATTTCGTTGTTACTGTCAAAAGCTCCTTTAATTAAGGTATTATATGGTCGCTCATCAACAGATGAACCATAATTACTATTATATTGAATAATTCGTCTTTTATTGTCATGTAAAGCATGTTCTATGTCGGAATAAAACCGTGGTCTAGATTGTTTATTTTGCTCTTCATGAAAACCGTTTCTGCTGTAAACATTCCTAGACATTAAATCTTTATGTGAGTTAGTATTATCTATTTTATCTTCAACAAAAACTTCATTTGTATCTCTACTATTGAAAACATCGCTAGATTCTCGGCGTGGAGACAAAGGCGAAGATGAGTTGAAAGAATCGCGAGACTGTTTGTGTGGTGGAGATACGCTACCTTGTCTTAATGGCTGGTAATGAATATAACCTTTCATATCAGGATTATTCCGAATAGTTCTAGACCTTATTTGAGCTAAAGCTTGTTGATTTGGAAATGGTCCAGTAGGTACGTTTCTTCGCCCTTGACGAACCATACATGCCTTAATTGAGTCAACTGCTGTATGCATTTCAGTCGATGGAATAAATTTATACACAAATCTACGTCCGCTGACCTAATTTAAGATAAATATGGATAAAACAGTAATATTAATATTAATAATTTCATTATTAATATTTTATTAACATTAAAAACAATAATACCGCAGTCTGTTCTAAAAACTGACTGTAAAGCTTATTTAGATGCTGTTTCAGCATATAATTTATTGCTAATTTTTTTATAAAAGAGTTAGCTATATCTTAATTTTAAGTAGTAAAAACTTATTTTTGAGGTCAATAATAAACTTATGCATTAACAACTTTTTTGTACCTGAGGTAAGCTTAAGGTTAGAAAATCAAAATTAACAAAAGACTTTTTTTTCTAAATTTTAAGCTTATAAAGACAAGTGGCTAAAAGAATTTGTTGTGGTTCATAATTTTTACCTTTATATTGTACAAGATAATTGCACCTACATATATACAGTTATACTTGAAAAAATTAAATACAAAACTAAAAACAACTATGCAATAGAAATTTTTCTGTAAACCTCGATTATTTTATTCAATAACTTTTACTAACTCACTTTTGGAAATCTTGTATAAATGACTAATCACATAAAACATTGATTGTAGATAAGACGGTGGTTCAGTGGCATCTGACACTATCTTCTCATGTGGTAGAAAAATTTGGATAAAAAACAATTTATAACATCCTTCATCTTTTTTGGTTATAGCTCTATTTTATCAAATGTTATCTTACTTGCAAGCTACATAATCCATATAAGATCATAAATAACCTGCTGCACAACCAGCTCATTTGGTATCTGCACAATGTTAAATGTCTGAATATTTTTTTGATTCATTCTCTTAAAAAAAGCTGTACATTTATTAATTGGTATGAAATGATATATATATATATATATATATATATATATATATATATATATATATATATATATATATATATATATATATATATATATATATATATATATGCCTAAAATTTGTCTAATCACTGTTTTTTTTAAACTGGCTGGTGCAGATATATTATTTTACTGTGTCATAGCAAAAAAAAAACAAAACAAAAAAACAACCATTCAGTATCAATATCAAAGTCTTTTTTGTGATAGTAAAGATAAATAAAGTTTTTATATCATATTGCACATCCATTAGTAAAGTACTGCTAATTTGTAGAATGTTTGCTTTGATGAAATTTGCTAATAAGCTGTTCTAACATATATATATGCAAGCTCGACATCACCAGAAAGGAAGCAAAATAACAGATATTTGTAAACTATTTGATTTATAGTATATAATAATAGGATGAAATGCACATTTCTATATATACCAGTGGCAACTTTGCACATTATCCAGAACAACAAATTAAAAGTTAACTTATTCACTCAATTATTTTACACTCCTTGTAACAACTCTTTACAATTTTTATATGCACTTGACTTCACTTTTAGCTATTAGTGAATTATTTATTAGTTTATGTATTTTATTTCATATAAGTTCAACTTATATGAAATAAAATAATAAATTATGTCTTTGATAATAGTTTTTTGATTGATTTGTTTAGTTCTATTTGTATGTTGCTTTTGAATAATTGTAATTTCTTTATTGATACTGTCAAACTTTACTGTTGAAAATTCACTTAAAGCATTAGTTGGACATAATAGACATTAATGTAACATGCATTTTCCTTAATGCAAGCAATTATTCCCACTTAAATTTCTAGAGTCTTTGTCAATTTTAAGAGTATTGGCTAACAAATTAACATTTTGGTGGTAGAAACAGAATTCTGGTAATAGAAATTTAAACACTGTGACAGGCAGACAAGTTTGTGGTTATATACCATCCAGGGCGAAGGCTGCAAAAAATTTTAGTGCTTGAATTTAAATGCTATAACAATTTTTTTTTAAATTTATCAATACCATTCTTTTTTGTATATGCTGCCTATACCCTAAAGTGATTAACTCTTTTCATTTCAGGCATTATTCATGTGTACTCATCATTTTATTAAAAGCTATGAACAAGATCATTTGTTTCAAGGGAAAACAACTTTTTTGATTTGAAAATTTTTTGATTATGATTTATACAAAATTCCTAGCTTTTCTAGCATTTTGTATAAAATAAATAAATTAAAAAATTCTGCAGACTTTGATTATGGATTTAGTGTTAATATCTGTTTATCAATTGTAGAAGTTAGTTGTGTATATGAGTGTCAATGTAATAATAGGATCGTAAGCTTTATTTAATTTTTTGTTGTTGTTGCTTCAATAAGTTAATTAAGTTTTCTTTTGGCAAATGATAATTGTTAATGTGTTTTATCACTGCTTTAACCTTAGTAGATGACACACCTATAGATTCAAGACTTTTATCAACAGAAGCATATTATTATTTTTCAGATACAATCTGCAGCTTTGATCATTTGACCTTAATTCTTTATATATATCCTGTAAGCTTTTGTAACAACTACTGCATAATTTCCATTAGTAGAGCAGGAATACCTCATGTTTTTAAAATTATTGCCATTGATAGTGATATCTTCACGATTCTATAAAAAATGAACAATCATTTCTAAAAATATCAAGTCTGCATTATTGTAAAGAACATATGAGTGTAACAGCTTATAAATTAATTCTATATTCATAAAAAAATTTATATTGTATTTTTGAGAAGCATTAACTTGTCTTGTAATTTCTTTAAATATAACCATTTGAATCATTATTACTCAAGTGTAAAATAGTATAAAAATTGTCTTTTTCTTTTTATTTATTATTTTAAGTTTTTTTTATTTTTTTTATTTCCATGCTTTGAAAAAAAAAAATTTTAAAAGCATGGAAATAGAAATTATTTCTGAAATTATTTTTTTAAATTTAATACCAATTTAATATCATTATTTCTAAAATTTTCTTTTAAATTTCTCTTCGGTAAAAGCAAACTGTTGTAAACAAATCAAATAAACCAGTTCTTCATAATAATTCATTTTTCGTTACTTGAAAATGTTAATGGGACTAAAAGACCTAGTAATCTTGTTAAACATTTCTTGTGGCAGTCAACAATATAATCCAATAACTTTCCATAATTTAAAAAAAAAGAAGCCTTTTTTAGGAGATTATAAAAAATTAAATAAAAACTGTTTTTTTTAGAAATATCTTTCACATTAATTAGTAAAAAATGAACTATAATCTTCTTTTGTTTGGATGTGTCATACTATATGACTTCCTTTTATACATGATCGAAAAATAATTAAATTTAATTTACTAATCATATAATATAACATTGATTGATTGGTTGAGTAAATATTAAACTCCTGCACAATAACAGGAAATTAACATTTACAACATTACAAAATCAAAATCTAGCAAAGAAATATTGAGGAAATAAAAGTATTTAAAAATATTATAACAAAAGAAATCTGTTATTGCATTTGAATTAAAGCCTAATACTTAAAAAAATAATATTTGTCCTTTTCAACAAAACTAGCTTTTATAACTTTTTTATTTTGAACTTTTGTTGTATGAGGCCTCTAAACAAATATTTTATGACTTTAAAACTAATTGAAATTGTAAATTATTAAAAAAAACTTTACTTTTAAGGTAAATGTAGCAGTAAGTGACGTCTTAATGGAAACACTTGAGTGTCAGATTGTTTTGTAAACTATATAATCTTAATAGTTAAAACAACTTACTATTATAATATATATACCTTTATAGCAAATTGTTTAGCAATATTTTACAAAGTACTATCTTTGTTTTTGTAGCAGTTTTTTTAAAGCATGATTTAATGTTAGTAATTGAGTCTCTAAAAAAATTTACTTTCAGTATTTGATAATTCTTTGCTTAAGTAGTTGACTATATGTTCAATGAGAGATAAATAAAAGCAGTAATAATATATATTTTTAATTTCTTCAAATATAAAATTGCTAAGACACATTGAATACTTTTGAAATGATGCAACACAGATACATTTTTATTAAATGAAACGATGAACAAGCGTTAATTTCTTGTACAAGGTATGAGCCACATCAAGAACATAAGTTTGGATGGCGGATTTTCCTTTGCCTTTGTTTTCTTGTATAGCCATAACTAGCAGTTGTAATTCTCATAGACATTAGGAATTTTTCATTTTCTTTCCTGAAAATGGCTCCCTTCATACTCTACAGTAACAAAGTCATCTTTTTCCAGAGTAATTGTATCTTCATGGGACGAATCTTTATACCAGTCATAATCTTCACCATTGTTAAGCTCAATGAAATGAAAATCGATGAGTCTGACTCTTCATAATGTTTTCTTGATTTTTTGCTTACTTTATTTCATTTTTCATTTATATTCCCTTCCATTTCTCTTCTTGCTTTATTGATAATATCAAACATATCTATTTAAAAATGTAATGATTTATTATTAAAATAAAGACTACTTATCTTTTTGTGTACAGCCAAATGGCAAGAGAGTACATTCCCTCTTTTTTAAAAAATCATTCTACCAGAGTCAGGTTAATTTAAAAAATTTTCCTTCTAAATGGTCAACTGGTAGCACATGGTCAATTACTACCTTACAGAAATGACAAAATTAGGAAAATATTAAAAGATTTTCCTTTTTTTTTGTGCTAATAAAAATATTGTTATAAGGAACAAAAATTTGGAAAATGTCACATTCCTAAAACCATTCTTTCTGCCCTCTACTTTCAACCCCCCTCCCCCAAATTTTATTGTTGACCACAAAATAAAATTCTCCAAGTCATTTGACTTTATGAGTTAAAAAAACTCTCCCCCCAACCTTAACCCCATCCCAGGTACAAAATAATTTGCATTAATGTATAAATTTACTGAAGTAAAGGTTAGAGTTAGAGAAAAATAAAAGTTTTACCAACCTATTATTAGATATTTGCACAATACTTGATAATAATGTAAATGATTAAATTTTTTATTTTAATAAATTGCTTAAAAAACTACCTTTTGAATAATATCTTTACTGTAATAATATCGTAACGCTCTGCTTAATTTGTCATAGTTCATCCCTTCTTTCTGTTTGCGCTCTCCCCATTTCTTTGCAACAGCTTCGCTATTTTTTAGTTTAAACTCTCCATTAATTTCATCTGTCCATTCAATCATAGATATAAATGAATCATCCATTAGCAGCTCCAACAAAAACTCCCATAGATGAACTGAACGTCTTGAAGCTATAAATAATTTGTAAAGTTGTAAATAATAAATAAAAATAAAGTTGTAAATAATTATATTTATCATTTTTATTATAGTTGTATGCATTAATTTATTTTTACTTTTTTTTAATGTAAAATGCTGAAACTCTGTTGCCAAATTTTCGAATTAGGACACACAAGTGACATAATAAAAGAAGAATATACAATCAAAATATTTTTAACAAAAAATTATCTAAAAATAAAATGTCATTTCTCACAGCCCATAAAAACTATTGTTTTAATATTACAAACTTTAGGTTCTATCAGTCAAGACTAACTATGAACTGCAAACAGTTGTATATGTGAAAGTCCAGAGTGTAAATCTGGATAAGTTCAAATTTGCATATGTGCAAATTTGTTTTACAAACTTGCATACAAGCCAATAGGTCGAACTGGACAAAAAGTCCTAATATTTTTTACAATAAATACATATTTTAAAAAAATACAGCCTTCTTTAACTAAAACTCAACAGTAGATATATGTATATCTACTGTTGGGTTTTGGTTGCTCCAAGTGTATCAACATTTTTGCAGGAACACTCATCAACACATGAGTCTACCTACACTTTTTTAATAAAATATGACAGATTGTACCGCTGCATGTTTCCACTAATGCAGGTGTTTCTAATATTCTTTAATGCATTTATGCAGATTTGCACTCAGTATGTTTTTATTCCAACTTTATTCAAACTTATGCCAGTTTTCACTTATGATGATTGTACAACAAAGTTTGTGTCACTAGTTTGCACAATCAGAGAATGCAGTTTTAAAAAATACCTATAAAGTGGTAGCAGGTAAAAAGTACTTTTTTTCAAAAAAGTGAAAAATTCGCCGTTAAAACTGTGAAATTTAATCATGATAATATTTTTAATTATACATAGATTTCATAAGTATATATATATATATATATATATATATATATATATATATATATATATATATATATATATATATATATATATATATATATATATATATATATATATATATATATATCAGGGTGTAAACTAGCCCTGTGGCGCCCCGACAAACGCGGTTTTCCCAAATGCTCATAAAATTAAAGTTCCCAATTTAAAGATGAAAAAATTCCATTCTCCAAATAAAGTTTCCAAATTAAAGTTTTATAATAATTCTTAAAATAATTTAAAATTAGTTATTATTCAAAACTAATAGAAAAATAACATAAAAAAATTCTAATTCATTAATTGTGTAAAACATGAAATCAAATCGCCATTATTGGTATAAAAACGCAATTGCATAACTGAGAAAATTGGTTTCTTGGAAAAAACATCATGAAAATTGGGATTTTTGGAGCGATTTTAGGGATTTTTTCGGCAACTTGTAATAAAGTTTAAAAATAGTTTTTTTGCAAAGCATTCCAACAACAGCAAATATTATATAAATTAGTTAGCAAGAAATAAAGTACTAATCTAAAAGATCCAAAATAATAACAAACTTGTTTTGTTTGCCACCTGCAAATGCTATTTCTTTAAAAGTTTTGCCCTTTTTGGCTAAAAAGTTAAACAACTTAATGAGTCTTACAGTAAACTCAACTTTAAGTAGTACATGTATTTCGTCAACAAAAACATTAAGAAGGTAATGTCAGATACCTTTTGATCAATTACGATTAAAAATAAATCAAATTAATTATTCTCAATAATAATAAATATACACTGATTATTTTATAATAAAAACAATATATCATTCCTAATATATGTTCGGAAATCGGTTCTTAGTTTGCCGTGTCGTCGTGAAACAACAGCTAATTTTGTGTTGATTTCATATTCATCTTTAATGATACATTATTTTATTTTTAGCACTGATCCATCAATGTATGCAGCACTGAAGTAGAGTAGAAAAAAAAGAACACCAAAAAAGGACACCATGCTTTCCCACAACACATTTTAATCTCAAGGGAGGGAGGGTTATATATATATATATATATATATATATATATATATATATATATATATATATATATATATATATATATATATATATATATATATATATATATATATATATATATATATATATATATATATATATATATATAACCCTCTATATAATCCTATATATAACCCTATAATAAAGGGGGAAGGGTGGATTAATGCACTAACTTTGATGTTTGACAGCGTGACAAATACTAATGTGCGTATTGCATTTTAATTTTAATATAATATAATTTTTTATTTATTATTTTTATATAAGATTTCTGAATTCTATAGTTAAGTACTCAGCTGCATTATCCTTCTCTATCTCTCTCTCTTTCTCTCTTATATTATATATATATAATATAAGAGAGAAAGAGAGAGAGATAGAGAAGGATAATAAAATAAAATCTTTCTCTCTTATATATATATATATATATATATAAGAGAGAAAGAGAGAGAGAAAATATCTCTCTCTCTTTCTCTTTTATATATATATATATATATATATATATATATATATATATATATATATATATATATATATATATATATATATATATATATATATATATATATATATATATATATACATATATTGTCTTGGAATGTGGATGGAATGTAAAAAAACTTAACTTTTTATTGACATTACTTTTTTCTTCACCCATTTCATGGAAGATGTTGCCTACAGGCAAAATCATATTACTAGTACTGTATACAAAACATGTATTTACTTTATAGTAACTGGTATATTTCTAAAATATATATGAAAAATATACATTTAAGTATTAACTTTTTTTTTTTATTATTATTATTCACCTCCCCATGGCCAAGACCTCTATAGTTGAGGAGGTTACTTTAGTGGTTACAACCCTCTCTCAGGAACATGGTGGGGAACAAACTTTCTTATTAAATATATAACATCTGATATTGAAAACCATTCAGAAATCAGAAATAATATACCAGTCATTAATCAAGGTTTGTTATATTTTTTATATAGTACAATATATATATATATATATATATATATATATATATATATATATATATATATATATATATATATATATATATATATATATATATATATATATATATATATATATATATATACTATATAGTCTATACTAAATATTATACAGGAACATCATGTCATTCTAGTGAATATATGGCAGATAAAATAAATAAAAATTTATGAAGTTGATTTAAATAAAGTTTAGAGCATTATGACAATTTAGTCACATTGCTCAAAAGTTTATTAGGATTGTATAAACTTTATTAGGAATTTTTATGTTTGTAGCATTTTCAACAAATACTTTTTTTATTGTATAATACAATAAAAAAGAATATATACATAACAATACAATAAAAACTATCAGTATTGAACAATACAATAAAAAAGTATATAAACATAAAAATACAATAAAAACTACCAGTATGAACAATACAATAAAAAAAAAGTATATATACATACAGTAAGTATAATATATATTGTATAATATATACAATTAACTAACTTTATCATACATTTATAAAAGTAGATTATTCACAGTAAACTACTTTACTCAAAATTTATTTGATATATGCCTGTTATCATAGTATCTGTGTTTTTTATTTTATAAGTAAGGATTAAATCTAGCATGCTTAGATAGCATAAAGAAAAATTAGTAAACCCTAAATTATTAGCTGAATCCAAAAACAGTGGACCCAACTCAGCCATTTCCAAAAACAGCCACCTCAATCTCCTATCAATGTAAAATTGCTTTCACCAATAACTAAATAATAAAGAAAATTGTATCAAATATCTCCATATCTACTGTTGTGAAAACTTCACTTCATGGATGGCCATATTGTCAAAGTCATAACAGTTATACCACTCTCAAAAAAGATGTCAAAAAAGTCTTTAGAAAAAGTAAAGAATTTTGTTTGACAGAAATTTTGAAAAAACTTAAAATTTAAAAACAATGTCTAAAGGAACATTATCTTATTAGAAAGTTAGTTTCATTCAGAATTTTCATTTTAAAATATGTCTTTAATTTAAAAAAAAATATTTAAAAATATAGGGTACTAGGCGATCTGTTTTGAATTTAGCTTTTTAGTAGAAACATAAAAATGATAAGTTTAGGTCAATATATCTATTTTAAGAACTGATTTCAAAAAGCTAGATTGAAGAAAAAAAATTAAAATAAAAATTTATTCTGATGGCTTACTTATTCTTATTTTTATAGTTACTCTGATGCAGTACCCAAAAGAGGGGTGGTTCAGAACGTAAACTCCCCCACCCATTTCTTTTTTTTTTAACTTTTTTTATTTTGCTTCCAGGACCGACAACACCGGGGGGACCAGGGGGCAAGTGCCTCCCCCCACTTTTTTTCTAAAGGATCTTTTTTTTTCTTTTTTTAAGAATTGACGGTGGTGCCCCCCCCCCCCACTTTAAAACCCATGTGTCGGCCCTGGCTTTAACTTTATAAATTTTGTTAAAATCAACAATTCTTAACAATGTTTAAATAAACAAAAATGTGTTAGAAAAACTGCTGCATGATACTCAGTTGATAATATGAATCAATATAAATATTTCTGAAACATTTTTTCATTTCAAGGATGTTTATAATAGTGTAATATCTAATATAAAGTAAATACTTTAATGATAATGATGAGAATAATATTTTTTTTTATCAGTCTAAAAACTTAAATATAACTTTTTTTTTTTACTCTCGCGAATAATTTACCCAAGTCTAAAATTTTGATCATTTGTGATAAATCTGAATTATTTGGTTGATTTCGATCTTTATTACTATTGCAGTTTTTGTTGTTGTTGCTGCTGTTGTTTTATCGATTATTCGGATAAATACATTTTTCCTCTATTCAAAGTTTCGCGAATTTGCTAGAAAATCAATTGAAGAAATAGAAAAAATGTTTACAGAAATTGCTATTTGAGTATACTTGCTAATTAAAAAAAAAGTTCGTGAATTTTTTCATTTTACTTCACTTTTTGTTTATTTTTGTACATAAAGTAAAAAATCTTTTGAAAATCTCTGTGAGATATTTTACCGAAAAACAACTCAAAAACAACTTTATATATAAACTATCGTTTTTATATTAAAAGTTAAAGTAAGCAATTATATATGGTCAAAATAATTTAGTGTGTTAATATTATAGCTTAGTGTGTGTATAAAACTATAATATTAAAAAAAATAAAACTTGATTTAAAATGTGCGTGTGCGAGTATATACACACGCGCGCACACGCACACTCACACGCATCTAAATTAAGCGGTTAAACCATTTTTTGAACACTTTGGGTTGCAACAACAACATGGGGTAGGGTAGAGGAATTAAGAGCAAAATTACCATTAAAAGCGGACCAAATTCTTTTGGCCCATAATTTTACGAGTAAAAAATTAAAAAAAAAACTTTTTGAACCTAGTTTATTATTATGATAATAATGTTATATATAGATCTTTAAAATTAGAGCAACCTAAACACCTTACATTAAAAATTTCCAAAAAACTTACAAAAGACAAAAGTTCTTGTAAAGATTTTTAAACGCGTTTTTAAAGAATAAAAAGAATTTTAGTTCAACCTAAAACTAAAAACTAAAAAGGCATTTTAAAACATTTAATTGACGTACATAAGAGAAACCGCTTCCTCTTTTCCGCTTCCGATATTTTTTCAAACGACATTTTTAACATTCCCGTATTTAATTTTGATTGGTTAACAAATTTGCTACGCTTGAACCGAAATACTTTTTCTCTCTTAACAATAAAACTAACTTTGAGATCGTTTTGAATGGCCGAAAAGATAAGATTTGTCTTATTGAAATTTTTACATTAAGCCTACGCATTTAATTTATATTTTATAGAAGGTTTTTTGAAATTCACATAATTGTTGTGTGAAACAAGCTAATATATTTTGTGCAAAAATTAATCTTTTTAAAGTTTTGGAAAAACAATTCCGGTTTATTTGAATTTAAGGATAAATATTTTTGAAAGCTTTCATAATTTCGATGTAATTTTTGTATAAAAATGCAACTTTGCACCATGTTTTCGCCAGAAATTTGAGTTCGGATAGCATTGGACTTGTTTCTATTTAACAGATATCATTTGACAAAAGTAATTAAAAGTGACGTTAAAAAAACAACAACAACCTGGTAACAGATTTAAGTAGTCTTTTTATAATTTTTGCCAAATTTAATGCCTGGTTAACAGCAATTAAAGTTTTGTTATTGTCAGTGTTTAATTGTTATTGCTAACGATCTTTGTTAAACAAAAATAATTAAAAGAAAAAAGCCATTTATTTAAACTTCTGTAGATAAGTGCCTATGTTAGAATAAAATATTAGCAAAAAATTCGTTTCGAAACACAAGACACTTGGGTGGTTAAGGCCCAGGTTAATATGTCCGTAAATTGCAAAATATCGAATTTAAATTCTTTGCCACTGTTATATTCAAATTATATTCACTGTTATATTCGAATTTCTAGGTGCTCAAATTATTTTTGTTTAAATTTATTATGGTGAAAACCTACTTTTGCCGAGCACACGTTTCATTGTAAAAAAAATAGAAAGATATTTACAGATAAATTAATTTTTAAAAAAGTTTGTTTTACATTTATTTAATGTAAATAAACCATATAAGCATTTAAAAAAAACACAAAAAAAAGGTCAAATCTGATATTTTAAATGCCAACACAAATAAAACAACACTGTAAAATAGAGTAACTTTGTTCCATTTTTAAAACATTTCGATCAATACCAAATAATAAATAAACTCAAATAACTGTGATGTCATCTTTTATTAAGTTGTGCAAGACTGAATAAGCATGTCAAATTCAAAAATGCAATTTGACGCACAATGAGCAAATGAATCGCTAACTTGAAAAAGGGGACATGTACTGCAAAAATTCACATAACATGTCCCGTTTTTAAGTTAGCAGTTCAAATGTAGTTAATTTTTTCAAAAGTAGTCACTCTGGTAATTACATTATGATGTATCAGTGTCAGTACATGTATCAGTTACTAAATTGTAAACATGTATCAGTTACTAAATTTAAATTAACGTCTTGAGACAAACATTGTCAATGCTTAACTCCTTCTTCCTAACGTTTCAAATAGCGGGCCTAAAGATCACATCCCGAAATTCAATGAATGGCGATCCAAATCAAAAGGAAAACGATTAGTTGCGCTTTTACAAATTATTGAATTATATGGAAATATAAATAACTTAGTTGAAAAAAATAATTTTTACGCGCAGCAGTTAAATATGACACATTGACAAATGTGTAATATTAAAACTCGTCATTTTTAATATTTAATATTTACAATATATTTTCTAATCTAACTTGGAACAAGAGAATTTTGCAAATATTAGTTTATAAAATTTAGAAATAATTATGGTATGTATTAGTTTATAATTAACTTGGAAACAAAAATTTAAAAAGCAAATTTTCAAAAAAAAAAAAAAATTATTTATTAAATCGTCTATTGAAAATGAAAATAAATAATAATATTAAAAAATATATTTGCGTTGTTTACATTTTTTATAATTCTTTAAAGATGCCGTTAGAACTCATTTTCTCCTAATTTTTGTGTAAATTCCGTTTTTTAATACTTTTGATTTTCTTATTTCGTAACAACTTTAAAACAAAAAACATTAAAACATATTAATGCCATACTATGCTTCACGACCATTTACTCGGCTGGTGTTAGTTTTATAATAAGATATTATTAGTATTTATAAATATAAGGAAAACAACGCAGGTTTACCTGACAATGTTCCTTCCACTTCTGTGTTTCCATGTTTATACTCTGTTTCATCCGTTTCAATAGTGTCGACCATTTTAGTTTCTCTTAAAATAAATTTTCGTTTAAAAAAACCAACGTTAAAGACAGCAATCTCTTGTTTATTTATTCGAACATATATTTTTGAAATGAACGCTTAAATTTTTTAACTCTACTTCCGTTGCCTTATTAGAGATAATATAAGTCTTCCGACTGATTACCACGCTCTGTTGGTTTTAATCCTTTGTTCGATTTCAATAATAAACTTTTAAGATAAATAGTAAACTAAAGTCAAATGTCAATAAAAAAACAAAATATAACGTAATCAAACTTTAACACAAAATTCAAAACATTGTTTGGAAGAGAAATAGTTATTCGGGGAAAATTATAAACATTGATACCAAGAAAAACGTTTAAAAAAATCCATAGAAACGAAAGCTACGGTCGTTACTAACTAATTTTGCTAATAGTTCGGAAATTACGTCTCTACCAAACACGCATTAAATAGTGAAGCTTCCAGATACACGATGTAAAAAAAACTACTTTTATTTCTTTCTAATGTAAAAAGTGTGTTTTAAGATTTCATAGTTTCTGAAATGTTTGATGCGATATTTATAATCGCTATTAATTATAATTACTGAACAAAACTCTTTCAGTTTTTTACTCGATTTTAATATTAGATTTTATAAATTAGGGCGGTTAATGATTTACATTGTTTCTTGGTTACAAACGGAAACCGTACAAAATATGCATGTGAGTTTGAAACCGGATACATCGTCTTGCATTACATTCAGGCGGCAAAACAGTTTATACACAGGAAGTACATTATGAATCCCATTTGTAATTTACGATAGCTTTCAAGAAGTTTAAAATAAATCACGTAATAAAAAATATAAGCAGTCTTTATTTCTATTTGATTTTTACAAGAAAAGCTTGTAATAAAACAATGACATTCTTTTGGAAGTGGAAACAAATAAAAAGATTTCTAAAGTTTTTTATTTTGGAACATTTGGCCATCTAAACTCTGCAAATAGAAAAACAGAAGTCAATTTATAGAAATTGAACGCTTTTTTTTTATACTAAACAATACTCTTATGTTAACATTCAAACTTTTAACGATTTAAAAGTAAGCGCCAGCCTACCTGCAAAAAAATCATAAATATTAGAGTTGTTTTGATCAGCGCTGCAATTCTTAAGTAAGTTTCCGGAATAGGAGTTTAATCTAAGTATTATTACGGAAAACTAAATTAGTTTAATATCCTTTTGAATGTTATGACGTTTGACGATTGTGGTTTGAAAGATATTTAAAAAAAAAATAGATAAAACTTTCAATGATTTTAAAGCATAAGTTTTTTGCGTTTTTTTTTTTTTTTTGAAAACCACGCGTTAAGATGGAAAAGAAAAAAGAAGAAAATCTTTTTAGTTGATTTTATAATCAAACTTTAAAGATAATCATTAAATACTAAAAAAGAATTTTAATGAGATTTTTTAGAATAAAAAAAAACTTTAAACAAAAAATTTCTGATTACAAAATATGTTTTAGAACTAACGCGCGTTATCAAAATAAAGATGTCCCTCTTTTAACACCAATATTTGGTAAAGTGTTATATTGAAACAGTGTGATATGACCTTTTTTATTATTTATTTAAACTAATATTTTCGTTACTTTTTAATTGTACGTACATAACTTTACAAATTATGGAAATGCGTGAACCAGTTTCGTGTTAGAGGAAGGCTGCATAAGTTGAGCATGTTAACAGTGTATCGTTTATTATAGTCTTTCCTCTGGAAAAATATAATAGATAGTTCATTCAAAAAAATCACTATACCAAAAATTGCGCTATTTTCAACACACCCAATCATCTCATTATATGCACCCAGTTTTCCCAAGATGAGTTTTTCTTAATGGAATTCAAAAAAACTCAAAATAAAAGAAAAAGACTCACAAAAAAAATTAAAGAAAATCGTATCTTTAAGGAATATACTAAAGTAAAAAGTAATTATCCCAACCATAAAAAAAAAAAAACTATAAATCTTTACTCTATAAAAAAGTTTGTCTTACCAAAACTAAGCTCCGCGGAGAATAACTTTAAAAAAACGCGCTTTCCTTAATAAAAAGCCGCATTTCATCATTAGCTTCTCACAACCTCACCGAGTACTGTCAAAATTTAAATAGCATGACAACAGCTTATGTATTATCTCATATAACCCATGGAATTAGCAGTAGATAAGCATAAAATATTGAGGATATAATAAATTTTTTGATAATCTAGTTTCGTTCTGACGTAATTACAAAGCATTGAATAACATTAAATTATAACGGGGTAAATTTTTTTAACAATAAAATAATTAAAAGATATTAGATATACAAGCAAGTGTTAAAGCAAATAACACCGTCGAACTTGTATGAATATACTTACCCAGGAAAAAAAGTTCTATTGAATTTCAATAAACTTTTGAAACATATAGAAATTCTATAGAATTTCTATAGAATCTCTGTTACTTTCTATAGAAATTCCCACAGAACTTTTTTTTTCTACTTTTTTTTTAGAAAAAAAGTTTTATAGCAATTTCTTTAGAAATTAAAAGACATATAGACCATATTTTTCATATATAAGCCATATTTTTCAAAAGCTAATAGAAATTTTAAAAAACATTTTTCCCTGGGTAACCAAAAACCATCCTAGTATACCATCCTAGGAACCTGCTTATCTTATGCAACCTTCCCTATATCTTTTTTATCCTAACTTTCAATCTAAATTGAAATTAAAACCTTTGTTTCGTGTAATTTTAAAGAATCAGAAAGCACGCGTAATTACTATATAACTCTGATTAACCAATGGGAAATATTAAAAAGTAAAAACAAAATGTTTATTTATAATATTTTATATTTTAACTCAAAATAACTACTATGAAAAAAGGGATTTTTAAACAGCCGGATGATGCCGATAGCTAAAGTTATTTATCAGAAGACATCTCTATTTGCTCTGAAGATTCCTTATCTGAGTAGCAATACCAGTTTTAAGGTTAAGATTTCCTTTAAAAATGGTTTAATGTAGTTTTTTTTGGTAGTTTTCTCATCCAAGTTAAAACAGGATCTGAGCTAAATAGTAAAAGATTGCAAGATTCTATGGAGAACTTTCTGACATTGTTTTGGCGGTAAAGACTTAAACGCAAAATATTCATTTTGCGTTTAAGCTGCTTCTTAAGATAATTGACCAATAGGAAGCGAAGCATGCTCTATTACAATAAAACCATGAATAATAATTTTATGCATTGTAGGGATCATCGATTACCATGGATATAACTTGACGTATAATTCGCAGTTTTTACGGCATGATCCCTAAATTTTTCGACATAAATTTTACGTTCGCTTAATATTGTTCCCAAATATACAATATATAATATTGTATCACTTTGAAACAATACATTAGATTAAAACCAATACATAGTACTTTAGCTGCCAACTTTGAATCCAAAAAAATTGTCGGCTAGTATTGCATTATTTGAGTTGCCGAAGCCAGGTCTAAAAGTTAGCTTTATGGTTATAAGGCCGGCTGGTAGCCAGATTTCTCAAACTCTGTTGTAGCTCTCAGAGATGCTGATTCCATCAACAGCTGTAAAATTTCAGAGTATTAACAGTGCCATGTTGCGCATGGTTGGTGTCCCTGTTCGTAATTTTGGTGTGCATTGTCAAGATCATTTAAAGCTCTATTTTTCTGCTCAGGGTTTATTGTTTATGTTCGGCTGTCTCATATTGTGGTCTTAGTGTTAATGGTTATCTTCTTTTAAATCGTAAAGATTCCTATAGTCGCATATTTAGCTTGAGCATTTACATTCGTAAGAATTCACCAATTTGTCGGGAAACTAGATTTGAATCCACAGACTATTCTTTTATGTGCTTTTGTTTAGCACCACTTTACTCTATCGCCTTTCTTATTGTTCTAAAACGATCTCCTTTGTCTCAACACTTCACTCGTTTTGATGTTATTTCTGATTAAACTGACCAAGCCCTTTCTCATTATTTTTCAGCCAATATCGTTGTTGTTAGGACTTTAATGCTTATCACACTAAATAGCTTGCCTGGTTCTTTTGCCTTTCTCAACCTCTTACTGAAGTAGTCAACTTTCAATTTGCTTTTCAAACAATCCAAATCATTTACCTTCTCTACTCAACTTATGTCTTGTTTCTGATCCTAGTTAGTGCTCAGTTTCTCCACATTCATTCTTAGGTGCTTCTGATTACGGTTTGATCATCATCAGAGTTCCCCTGCCTTTTACAACTACTGATTGGGATTCTTTCCGTGATTTTCTTCGTGATGGTCCTCGGGTAAAAATCATTTGCCTTCATGTTAAAAAAAGGAACTCTTTTTTAACTTTTTGGATTTAGGCTGGCATGGAACATTTTATTCTCTCTCGAAGAGTCAAGCCACACTCTTCTCCATGTTTTTTCTTGCAATGTGCTGCTGCAATTTCCAAATGAAACCGTTACTTCTAAATCTATCAGCAAAATAATTCTCCAGAAAACAGAAGACTGTTTATGTTTTTGTTTTCCTGCCTGTTGGAAAGAGGCATCTCTTATCCCTATTTTCAAAAACGCTGGAGAGTGATCTGACTTGTTTAACTACCATCCCATTAGTCTTTTCCCTATTATAAGCAAGGTTTTTGAATTTTTAATTAATAAACACTTAATCTTGAATCTAATAACTTATTTTCTAATGATAAATATAGATTTTAATCTTCTTGTTCTACAGCTAATTTGCTAAAAATAATAACCTATAGGTTTTATCGTGCATTAGATAGATGTGGAGAGGTTAAACTACCACTCTTGACATTTCTAAAGCTTATTATAAAGTTTGGCATGCTGGTCTTCTCTATAAGCTTTTATCATACGGTGTATCAGGTAACATTTTTAAGATGGTTAAATCCATTTCCTACGAATCGTTGTATAAAAGTTGTTCTCGATGGACAGCTCTCTTCTCTATACCCTGTTACCTCAGGGGTTCCTCAAGGTTCTATCTTTAGCCCTATACTCTTTTTAATTTACATTTACTATCATTCAGATATTCTCAAATCAGGGTGGCATTGTTTGCTGATGATACTACCATTTATTCTTGTCTTAATTAACCCTCTCTGATTGCTTAGAGAGGGCATTTCAGTTTGAAAAGGATCTCACTTCTGCTACAGCATAGAAATCAAAGTTGCTTGGGAAATTTAGTTCACAAAATCCATTTTTTTTCAGCCAATCGTTATTGCAATAACTTATATCTTCCTATATTTATGAATGGTAATGT